CCTGGTGAAACTGTCGCCATTTTTCCTACTGTTGCAGAACAGAGAACCATAACTTCCACCTTGGCTTTCATAGCTCGCTTCCCATACTGTTGGTCCTTTTATCATTTCTAACCGTGGTGAAAGCTTATCCCTCTGAGAAGTTGATGAAGGACAAGTGTCCTCCCAGAGCCAATATCTTGCCCACCATTAGTAGGTGTTGCCCCAAGGGTCACTCAAGGGACTAGCTGAGACCCTCGGGTCCCAACCTAGGCTTCTTCCTCCCATCTCCTCTTCTGGAAATAGGCACTGAAGCCACAGAGCCGAAATCAGGACAGCAAGAGGCAGGAGAGGAGAGGTGGATAGGAAGGGGGCGTAGCTTGGTGGGCGGTGGCCAGTCCAAGACCAGCTCCAAAGGGGTCCTTTCCTGGTCTCCCCTCTTCTCTCTAGGGAGGATTACGTGCAGGATTTGGGGTGGGGAGTTGTTTTGGGGGACACCATGAGGCACCTGTGCAAACCTACTCAGGCCTGGGAGAAGATGAGGGTGGGTATAGGCGGCAACCCAGGGCAGTGCCCCCAGGACGTAAGTGGAGCTGCCACAGTCCAGCTCCAGCCCCCACCTGAGCCGGCCAGCCAGAAGATAGAGAATCTGATGCCAAGGTCTAGAGTCTCTGCTCTAGTCAGATGGATCTGGGTTCAAATCTCCCTTCTGCTGTCTAAAAGCTGCCAGGCACACCGAGCAAGTTCCTGGGCCTGTCTGAGGCTGCTTCCTCTGTATAACAGAGGATGGTTTAGCAAATATTTAGCAAGTACTTACTTTGTGCCAGGTACAGAAGCGGCTACCGGCTAGATGCACCAGTGAGAAAAAAACACCCGTCCCTGGGGAAAGAGCTATTAATCAAATTATCGCACAAATCCACATAACAGTCCTAAAGGGGATAACAGTAGTATCTACTCATGGGTGCGCCATGTGGTGAGGATTAAAGAAGTGGATGCATCTAAGCAAACAAAAGCCTTCAAGTGCCAGCTGTTGCCACCCAGCCCTCCAGACAGCATCTGGTGGAGTTGAAGAATCGGAAGAATACATTCGTCCAGCACTTTGGGGTTTTAAAAGCCTTTCCACACACATTAGATCGTCTAGTATTCCCAATAACCCTGGGAGGTAGGTGCTTTATCTTCCCCCATTTCTCGCTGATGAGAGTGAAGCCCAGAAAGGCTAAGTGACTTTCCCGTAGTCTCCAGCAAGGAGATTCAGGATCCAGACTTCGGCGCGAGTCTCTGGGCTGTCCACTCCCCGCAGCCACGAATAGGAAGGGCTGGGAACCCGAGCCCTGGGACGGGAGGCGGTTAGGAGCCGCGGTCCGGATTTCCTGCTCACTAGGCCCGCGGGCCGGGGTGGGGTCCGGGAAGGCGGTTCGCCCGCGGGGCCCGCCGCCAGGAGGGGGCGCGGCGCTGGCGGCGGCCAAGGCCGGAGGGCTCCTTGGAGACCCTGGCCCGGACTACGCGTCCTTCCCTCCGGCCCACGCTCCCGCTTCCGGAGGGGTCTGGGCCTCTGCTTTCCCCGGCCCGGAGCCAGGGGCCGCCGGGCAGGCAGCCCGCGCCGGGGACTCGCCCCCTGCCCTGCTCCCCAGGCGCGCCCCGCAGGCGGCCAATCCGGGCCGGGGCGCCCCGACCTGCCCCCGACCCGGGCACCCGGGCTGCGCGGAGCCCCTCGAGTCCCCGGGGCGCGGCGGCCACTCGCCTCGCAGCCCCCAGCCCGCCGTCCCCGCTCAGGGCCGTGGGGGCGGAGGACTGGGAAGCGGAGACGCAAAGGGCTGGAGCGGGGAACCAGCCAGGCTCAAAGTTCCAAGTCGGATCGCGGCCTCCCCACCCCGCGCCGCAACCTGCCTGCTGAGCTGACCGCGTGGGCAGCTGCTCTGCCTCACACCACCCGGCCTGAACCCTCCGCCCAGCCCTCCGGGTCAGTTTAGACCTGGCCTCTGAGAACAGAGGAGCAGACCACTCCCCGCCAGCAGGGTGAGCCTGGGGTCTTTCAGAGAGCATGGGGTGGGGCGCAGCTTTCAGGAAAGCACCTCACTCAGAACCACGAGCTCCACATCTGCAAAGGACAAGCAACTGAAAGACTTCTAAGTGTTAGAGCCCCGCACAATGGCTCTTGTAGCCCTTCACTGGCCACGTGGCTCGCATTGTTAGTTAATTGTTCGGGCGTGTTGTCTCGTCCATGATGCACCCTTAATTAAAGTGAAGGCAGAACAGCCTCTTACCCTGCTCGAAAGATAACAATACATTATAACGATTATTATATTTGTACAGTACTTTACAGTTTGTAAGCCCTTCCTACAATTGTTTCATTTGAACAGTATGTGCGTCAAACTGCCTGAGTTTGATTCTTGCCGCCACCACTCACAGGCCGATGAACTCGGACAATTTGTTGAACTTCTCTGTGTTTTCTGGTCTATAAGATGGGGCTAATACTAGAACCACCTGGTTGGGCAATTGTGAGGATTAAGAGGCTAATAGGTGTCAGGTGCTTGGTACAGCATCTGGCACAGGGTCTGTTCCCCTGACCCTGTTAGCAGTTAGGACTGAGCCCCTGCTGTCTGAGACCGAGCCTCCTTCACAGGGGTCCGCGTGGCTTTCCAGACTTGGCCCTCTGGGGCAGGGCCTGAGATCCTGCGTGTCTGAGCAGCTCCCTGGTGACACTGAGGCTGTTGGCACCTAGGCACCCTTTGAGTAGTGAGGTCTTGGAGCAGTGGTCTGTAAACTTGACTGTGCTCCAGAATCATCTGGAAGGCTTGTTAAAACAGATTGCTGAGGCCGGGCGCGGTGGCTCACGCCTGTAATCCTAGCACTCTGGGAGGCCGAGGCGGGCGGATTGTTTGAGCTCAGGAGTTCGAGACCAACCTGAGCAAGAGCGAGACCCCCGTCTCTACTAAAAATAGAAAGAAATTAATTGGACAACTAAAATATATAGAAAAAATTAGCCGGGCATGGTGACGCA